CCATCTATGAGTCATGTCTTTGTACCTTCAGAAGTATGGTCTTTCTGTCGACTGAAGTTCGTACTGTAGTCCTTTCCTGCTCTGAAATCCTAAGTTATCCTTCTTAGAATTCAGGGATAGTCCCTCTTTGTATCCCAATGGTTTACTCAAACGTTATACCTTTCCTTGGTGCAATAGCAGGATAACATCTGCTCCGACTTATCTAGTCAAATTCCTGGTGGTTTTTGTGGATCCCAGGTACCAGAGTTGTAGTTCTGATGCTTGGGTCGCAAGTCCCTTCTACTTGCCTCAAGAGTCCCCTCAGTTCTAGCCTTCTGAACTAGCTGTGGCAACTTCTGAAGTGTTGTTCTAGGTTCTATTTTCCTTCTTGTCCTAAAGCGCTAGACGCAAGGACTTCGGATACAGAGACGACGGCGGCAGAAGTCGACTAGCGGAGACGGCAGCAGAGACAGCGGAGGCAGTGAGCAAACAGCAAGGGCAGATAAAAGAGCTGGTCCCAACGACAAGTCAGATACATTGCAGATAGAGAAAGACAGAAATAACTACTCACCTGGTCCCAACGACAAGAGGTCAAGATGAGGGACCAGGTGTAAACTACCTAGCTTATATACCCAGTCAGAGGTCTGAGATATGAGTCGTGAACGAATAGGAAAGACAATAAGGAAACAATAAGGAAACAATAGTAGTCAAGTATAAAACAATAACGAGTCTGGAATGAGTAACTAGGAGATGAGAGAAGACAATAAAAACAATAGAACGAATGGGTCGTGAAGAAGGTGTAAAAGACAATAGTGTGAGAAGGAGATAGGGGAGGGGGAACGGGCGTCTGGTAGGCGTCAAAGAAACAAGCACGCGCTGAAAGGGGAATAGGCGCTGAGAAAGGAAAAGATAGGGAAAGATAGGGGGAAAAGCGGCACTTCATGACAGTTGTCCAACGTGGTCTTTGGGTCTGTTACGCCTTGCTGCAGTGACCAGTAAGCGTCTTCCCCCTCAATTGGAGCTGCTTTGGTGACCGGGATGTGGAAGATCTTCATTGGCTGGTTGGGATCCGACCCATCTCTCATGTTGGTAATCGTGACATGCTTCTCGAAACGAAACTCCTTCAGGTTTGGAACTGTGAACTCCCCTACCCATGCTGCACTCCAGAAGATTGTGGTGAGGCAAGCCGCTACGGCGGTGTCCCTGTGGCTCGATAGATCCAGTTTGCCTAATACCTTCTCCAGGAAGGCTACTGTCCATGGCTTCCTCTTCTTTCGCTTTGATGCCGACGGTTGCAATCTCTCTGCTCCTTTTGAAATCGCCTCGAACTCGTTCTTGTTGATCTTCCATTCCAACCCGTGAATTATATGCCATGCTCTGAGACCGAACACGTAGTTCCGTACAGCTGAGCCCGAATATGCTCCTGCTACGTGTGAAATCCATAGGCTGACTAGACTCGGGCTTGTCAGCACTCTGCTCTCCTTGGCGATGACCAGTTGCTGGCTGTCGCAGAATACGTGGTAAACCAATAGTCCTGTTGTGTATGTCTGTAGTGTTGACTCCGCATATGCATTTATCACCACTAGCATGATCCGTGCCACATCCTCCGTTGAGACCTCAATGACTATGCCCTGACTGTCTCTCAGTACCTGCCGTTGTGCCAGTCTCCAACGTAGGAGCCACTCTTTTGCAGCACAGTGAGGTCGCAATGGTGATTCGGCTGGGGTTAGATTACAGGGATATGGTTGAGATGATGATGTAGTGAATTGGCTGGGAAGGGAAACTGGAAATTCAACTTCTGAGCTTCTGGGTGATGCCCTAGACCCATGCGTTTGGGATGGTGTCAAGCTCGTTGGCCTCCCTCTCAAGCTGCTTTCCGATTCCTTTGTCTGGATGTTGTCGTCGTACAGGTTTAATTGCATGATGAGTATTTCCTCCAGATTTTCAGTAGCAAAGCTCTGCTTCTGTGAGCAGTTCGTCGAAGTTGACAATAAGGTCCTTGAGCTCGACAGGAATGGCAATCTTTGGAAGGATGAGGTTGTCAGGGCCATATTTTCCTCCAGATGGATCATCTGCAGGGTTTGCTGCACTCAGGACGTATCTGGTATGTATCTGGAATCCCTGCTCCTCAACGATTCTGTGAATGTTCCTGAACACACCATTGGTAGGTCTATTTTTGCTTTTCCCATTCCACCATCCCTCAACGACTCCTTCATTGTCTCTGTAGACCTGTGAATTAATCCATCAATGCCTGTGTCGAGTTTTTCTCCTCTTGCTTACCTTGTAGTGTTTTCCTCTGGTGCAAAAGGGTGCCATGATGAGCACTGCGAGCCATAATCCTACTGCCTCTGCCCATCCAATATCTCTTTTGTTTTCTCCTCTCCATCCTGGGGTGAGACGGTATGCACACCAGTAACCTCTGATGTGAATGCCGATTCCAAAACCTTTGCTAGTGTCTGAGAATGCATGTGGGTCAATTAACTCCGCTGATCCTGGGATAGGAGAGGAAATGTTTCTTGATAATCTCTCTTTCCACCACTGTAAGTCATTGGGTAGCTGTCCTGGTGGTTGATGCAAGACAAAGGGAGCGCCCTCCATCAATGCCATCATTTTTTCAAACTTGATCAGGTAAGCCCTTCCCACTGTCAGAACGAAGCTCACATGCACAAGCTTACCATGCAAGCTCAATACTTGTTCCGCCATATGCATTTGTCTTCCTTCCCATTCTTTGATTACTTGTAGATACTTCTCACATTTCTCTTCTGGAACTGATATGATGGGTTCCCTCAAGTGCCATTGAAACCCAAGATAGATAGGCTCAAAACAGAACTGAATGTCCTTAAGCAGCTCCCAGAAGTACTGTACCATTTCGGGATGATCGTCAGGTCACGCGTCACAGGAGTGTAAGGGTCACTTATTTTTCCCACAGACACACCCTCCGCCATCTTCATCACTCCCTTATCGCCCAGACGGATGCCAATACACACCCCATACGACGGAATCCGCGTTGCAGCAACTGGCGCTCAACGTACCGCCACTCGGAACTCGGCGCCTAATGGCCCAATTTGTCAACCAGATCATAATCTCTGCGTCCCTTTTCTTCCAACGACTCGTCCCATCCTCTACGTCCATTAAGGCATCTAACCTGACCACAATAAGAAACAGTCCGCGTTCCCCACACACGCTGCAGCACCTACCATTCCTCCGTCTTCATAACAACTCTCATTGTGTTACATCCCCATGATATCTGCGACCCTCTTCATGTCATTTGATCACCTTTCTCTGCAAAACTGTACCTGTCCACATTATTCCGCGTTCCAAAGTCGTACGATTCCTCGTTCATCCCATCCGCGTTCATCCCGGCCACGCTGTACTTGCTTCTTTGAATTATCCGCGTCCATCCTCCAATGATTACCTTCGCATTTCACAACTTTCTCTTGGACTACACATGCTACTTATGCACCACACGACATAGTACGATTCCAGCTCGGATCATGACAACGATCCTCGCTAGTATATAAGCTCAGTAGATAGGAACCATGTACTTTAGTTTCCGTCTATTGTCAATCTCGTTCTACAAAGCTTCAAGCTAACTGTCTGGTGTGTTTCATACTCAAGTCTCGTACTAACTGTTTCGTTTCGTCGTTATAGGTCTTTGGTAAAGCCCTCATATCGATTGCAACCGTCCGCGTACCCCAAAGGACAACCCCATATCAAAACTCCGCGTTGCTACCTGGTAGGTTCGACCCGGAAAACACACCTTCAATCGGCGATCTCAGGTGTCCGCGTTGCGTGTAGGACAGAATCATACGTGTGAACCAGTCAGAGGCTCTGCTGGTTTCGGGTGTTGATCAATTCTCCGCGTTCTCCTCTCTCATTATTTCTTCCGGCTTGACGTAGAAAAAGAGGCCTGTTACATTTTCTCTGGACTCTCCCAAAGGCACCGGCAATCTTTGCCGGTCAGGCACCCGTTCTGCCACCTCGGGCAAACGCACCGAGAACTCCAAGGTACAAAGCAAGCCAAAGCAACGCAAAACTGTGCAGTTTATCGCAAATAAGGTTTGAACTACATCTCCTCGACCCACCTAGCAGACCAGCCAAACCAGCAGCTCAAAATTCTCAACGTCCTCTCAAAATTATGGCCGATGCCAGTTCCGATAGTAAGTTTCATTCCATTTCATTCTATCTGATCACATCTAACGACATATGTCAGATCTTGTGTTAGACCCCGGTAACCCACGGGTCAACAAAATCCACGTTGGCACATCTCCATATGACGCGTCTTACTCAGACTATGTTCATGCCCTTGGCCCGATCTTCTCAGTTCTGATGACCCAGATCCAAGATATGGAGGAAGGACATACTCGCGAGGCTCACCGTAAACAATTCGCAAACCTCATGGTGAATAACTGGCTTCGGGAATGGGGAGATGAATCTGCGCGACTTGAGACCAGTGGGGAAAAGCGCGGTGAGTGCAAGGTTGGTCTCCCTTACCTACATGTTCCTGGCCGCTGATCGTTGATTGTTTCCCAGGATCTGATTGCCCACATTGTGATGGAAAGCTCTATGTCCTCGTACCTGTCGATCAAAGGTCTTCAACCGGCATTGGACTTCGAAACTCCTTGGGAAGGTCAGCTGCAAACAGCCCTGGAGAAAAGCCGCTTCACCCAATGGAAAGAACCCCAGTTTGCTCAACGTCTACAACCATTCACACCAACACCTTTGGAGGATCCCGCCATCGAGGCTTTGAAGGGGCTGTCGTGGGAAGAGGGCTGCGAGAAGGTCATGCAGGAGTGTCGCGTGAAGCCTGAGAGTCAGAAAGAGGAGAGGAAGGTAGAGGAGGTTGGGAGACAGGGCCGAGGGGAGACATGGGTCCATATGTATCATTAGTAGACTCCTTCTATATGTAGATGTATTTTCCATTTTTCTTGTGAGCGTAAATGTACTTTCCGTCTTTTTTTTTGTGAAATGTAAGTTACGAGTAATTGGGTATAGGTAGGTACACACCCTGCTGTTACAACGGTGAGGTGGCCTAAGGGTTATGGCGCCTGGTACATATTCCCCCGCCTGACAATTTTCGGAGAATCACCAGGAGACTTCCGGTTCGAGTCCGGACCTCACCAATGAAAATCATTCCTTGAAGTTTTTGTTTTTGTGTAATGTAACAACCTTCTTTCTCCCTCATAGCTTTACAGTCTATACTAGTCGACATTGCTATATATTCCGTCGTCGCACAGATAGATACTGAATTTTATGGTAGCTAAGTCTCATTTTACATAACGCGAACAGTTTGACAGCTTCCGAATTTGGTTATGTGCAAACAAACATACGCACAGCCGCTGCCAGCAACTCTTGTCCCTTCACGTCCATTATGCTCCTCGAATATCCATACATATTCTACCCACCTCAGCCCTCAGATGGCCAATACGCTCGCAATGCACGACCTTTGTAACTCAATCAATATCTGCAGCACTGTGAGTCTCGCCCAGATTCACATACATGTTTCACACTAACATCGAAGTTCCCTCAGCGGAAGAAGTTTGCGTTGCCCCAACAGCCCAAGTCGCCGATGGAATCGTTCGGCTTAGTGCCAGGGCAACTTTTTCGAACTCTTAAAAGGCATTTGGGCTTCCAACCACCCCTGCCCTTCGCCCCACTTCTTGCCTTTCAACTACAACTGCCCTCTGTGCCCTGAACGCAATTTGCTCTTCCAACCTTGAACTCTTCTACTGGTTTGACTTTGAACTTTGGTGAGATTCTACCCTCCTCCACCTCACATACACGTCTTAACGCATCCAATTAGATTGCACAATCATGAGCACCAAATCGGAGGTATACCTCACATTTCCCCCCTCTATCAAGTCTCCTGACTAACAACCTCTGTAGGATTACATGTTCGATGGCCCCGGTAGTATTACTGCAGAGGAAGCAGCCAACATCCCCAATTCCCTTCTTGACGCGTCAAACGCGACCGACACTGTGCCTAGCACCTCGACTCCATGAGCAAAACGAACCATATCGCTTACGCCAAAGTCGCCTGGCTTCATAAGGCATATGGCCTCGAGTCGGGCAACAGTCAATACGGGAGATAGTGAAGCCGGTAGCTCAGCCTCAACTGAGCTTGAGAACCGTGAAACGCCTGCTCCACTGTATCCACCACCGATTGGCCTCCCCTCGAATGAGCCTGAGGGTAGCACAACCCCAGGTCTGCCACCTCCAGCACCCACAATGGGCCTGATGCCGCCATTGCCTTCCTGGCTTGCTGCAACAGGGCAAGGCCCTTCTGCTGGTCCTCCTCCACCCTGGCTTGCACCAACAGGTCAACTCCCCTCCGTCAGCCCTTCACGCACATTCTCCCACTCACCAACCCCACACCCAACCACAATGGGCCCTCCCTGGTTTCCGATGCCCCCCCTGCCAATGTACAATGCCCCACAAACTTTCAACCCCCCTCTTGTCGCCCCTCCTGCCGCCGTAACCCAACCCGAGACTATTCCTGCCGCTGTAACCCAGCCCGAGACTATGGACGTATCCACCGAACCTCAACCCAAGTCTCCACCCACCACACCCTCAAAAAAGGTCGAACCAACGTCGCCAACCACCCCCAGATCCGCAGGCCGATACTCAAAGGATGACACTACGACGATGGAGATGGGATTCGAGGAGATAGACAAGGCCATCGGAGAAATCGCGAAAAAACTCAACGTGGCGCCCAAGACAATCTATGCACAATACATTACAAGGTCCAGCCATTGCTCGCGTGGGGGCAACGCATGGAACAGCTACCAGAGGTACATGAAGGTCCTTAAGTACATGCTACTCGAGATGGTGCGGCTCGACAACGACCCAGACCTCAAGTACGACTTCGAGACGAAACCAACCCCTACCGCCGACCAAGTCTCAGCCTCGTGGCAAGTCTTCAAAGAGCACCATGGCGCGCAAGACGCAGAAGAACTTATGGCCGCGTTTGAGGAGTGCCAAGAGCAGGGAACCTCGCAGACCAAAGGGGCTCGCCGACGAGAGTTTGACTCCCTTGTGAAGAACCTCACAACAATCGTAAGTCATTCGCAACACTCTCCGACTCCCCAATAATGACCCCCACTTGCAGGGCCGTCAAGCTCGAAACCGCTCCCACTTTCACGTCGTCGCCTTCGCCGTTGGCGGAATGGTCAACGAGGACCAGTCACTGTCCTTCGTGCTTGAGAACGACGAAAGCGAGGGTGTAAGTATTGTTTACTCCCTCAACCCAGCCATCAAAACTCACCTCACCCCCCTGTAGTTCGTCGAGAAGAAACTTCACATGACGAAGGACAGAATTGTTGGCCGTTTACAAAGTCATCTCCAGTAAGTACACTGAACACCCGCAACCCAAACCGGCATTAACACATCAATCTAGCGACCAAATCGACGAAGGTCTACGTATCAACGAGATCATAGCAGCTGCGGAAGGCTATGGACTTACCGTCAGCGGCCCACCAGTCGAGAAGCTCAGAACTACCAAGGGCGACTGTCGAACGACCCTCCTCGAATGTGCTGGTAAGTGAACTTGACACCGAATATAACCTCGCATCGCAACTGATCACTGGGCATAGCGGAGTGCAACATCACCTTCAAGCACAACCGCTTTCCCGCCAAGAACATGAAGCAAGACTTTCTGAAGTCCGGAATTGCCATCAAGAACTGGCCCCCAACTGTTATGATCCCATGGGAGTGAGACGTCGGGAAAAAGGGTATTCTTGCCCTCCCGAAGGACCAGCAAGCGCTCGTCATCGACTACTGCCTCCGGGACGACGACCGCAAGCTCCGCTTCGAGAAGGTGGACCAAAAGGGTACGCAGCACCGCCCCAGTGTCTTCCGAGACATCGCTGACCTCACAGGAAACAGAAATGATGCTGGGAAAGGAGCCTATCCTTACATACACCCCCGACAAGAACGGCGAGACGAAGCAGATCTTTGAGGTCTTCAAAGAGCCAGACTCCAAGCCCACCGACGAGAAGCCGGCCACCAAGAAGGGCAAGAAGCTGAAGGAGGAGCCTGTGGAGACACCGTTACCAACCCCCACGAAGGCGGACCCTTCAACCCCAACTCTCAAACACAATATCCGCAACACGAGATCCACGACCCAAGCGACCACTACCCAACGCCGAAATGCGCCAAAGTCCGCCCCGTACGTTGAAGAGAGCGACTCGGACGAGGAGAACCAGAAGGACGAACTCACAGAGAGCGATGAAGACAACGACATCCTCGGCCTCTGTGAGGATGACATTGTCAATGCCTCGGATTATGAGGACAAGACGCCGACCAAGAGTAAGCACGCAAATTCCCGCCCTCCCTCTCTCTACTTATTGTTGTTCTCTTAGGTGGGACGAAGCGCAAGGCATCCACGAGGACGAAGGGCCAGAAGGGCAGCGAGGGGACAACTGCCAAGAAGGCCAAGTCGACACCTGCAGCCATCCCCAACGTTCAAAAGCCAGCACCCCCAGTTCGGAGCAAGTCGAATCCGACCTCAGGCGATCGTCACGTCCACTTCAGCAACCAGGAAGCCCCGCCCTCCATCTCAGCAGCCGAGTTCAACCAAGGAGGCTTCACAACGCTGTTTAGCGCCCGGCCCACTGACCAAACCACCTCCACCACCACCGTCCCAAAAGTCAAAGCCGTCGCCCCAAGGCCTACCCCCTCCTCAGCAGCAACCCCACCACCCAACACGCTGACGCCGCTCACTGGTGCGACAAACACCGGTGCAGCCACCACCTCCGCCACCATAGGGTCAGCCCCAGCATCCTCCAATGCTCCAATCACTCCGACACCAACCACCGCTGCACAAGCCCTCCCCGCACCTCAAGCACTGCAGCAGCAGCCCCCGATGCCGATGCCCCCAACGCCGCAGATGCAGCAGTGGATGATGCAGCAGTGGATGATGAACCAGATGGGTCAGATGAACCACATGACGCCAGAGCAGCAGACGCAGCAATGGCAGTACATGTCACAGTTCATGCCTCAGTTCATGCCTCAGATGGCTGGCGGCGGTGGGATTCAGGGAGGACACGGCAATGCCTGGGGCCAATTCCCCAATCCCAATCAACCCCAAGGCGGCGCCCAGTAGAGTAGGATACCGTATACATCGACATGCCCCCAGCTCCCTCCACAATGTCTTGCTCACTACGACACCTTGCCCCGTACGATACTTCCTGCCCTTCGCTTTGCTCTATGCTGTCGCCCACTCTCTCTACCCATTTCAACGTCGTGTAATCCGTGTAATCCAATGTATTCCCGAGTACCTACTACAGTTTGATACGAATATATCTTGTCCCTACCCTCCTACCTGTGTCAATAGTCCCGCCCCGCGTCGCACAAGCTGATACCAGCACCACCGAGCATGCCCTAAGGGCACCAGAAAGAAGTGATGAGTTCTATGACAACCAGGGCACCACCTCTAAGGCCTAATTCACACGGGGGTCAAATCGGCCCTAACGGGATCCGATTCACCGCCGAACTAGCTGCCTGGGCTGTGTCAGAGCACATTGCGAGATATGGACGAGTGGTGAAGAAACCGGGGTACCTCAGCTTCAAGCACGCTACCAAGGACTAGTAGATCACGCATTGGTCAGCCTTCCTAGCTACGCTTTACGAGGAACATATTCAACACACAAGTACGAGATACTATTCGTTATGCGCCAGTTCTCGCTGATTTCTTTTTTTTTTTTTTTGTAGGCCAAGTCAACTCGCTCGCCAAAGCTCCACTGCTCTAGCAGAAAAACTCACCGAGAGTCTGTATCCGAACCGGGATATGGGATATGTGACTTCAAGACTGCCTGACGACTCGTACGTCCTGATAACATTCCATCCATGCACTAACTGACACCTAATCAGCCACCCCGTCGATGACGATGGCGATTCATAGATGTGAACTGAGAGGTCGTGCATGTGATGAGCCTCTCTGCCTATGTCCTCGATGCTGATTGTCGACGATATCGCCCAGGTTCCTTCTTTTCTCTTGGTCTATCGCGCAACCTCCCTTGTTGTGCACGGTTGTCGGAAGGCCTCGCTTTAATCGACTCTCGCGATGCTCATCCCCCGACCTCGCGAATCACGATAATCCAACACCTAGCGCGCTGACATCAGG